ATAAAATTAATGAACTGTAAAATATTTTATATACTCAATAAATGGTTTTATTAGTACAGGAACTAAAGTTTTATTTACCTTAAAATGTTCAAAAAACAAAAAAATTAACACTGTTATTTGTTATCGATTTCTATACTATAATAACATTTTTGTCTCATCGATAACGATAATAATGAATAATGATTAATAGGATAGGTACTCACATGATGAAGCTATGTCCAATATGGTGAACAGCGTCAAGACAATCAGACCATAGATGTGTTCAGATTTCATTTTTGCCTTATTCGTCTGGTTTTTGATTGTAGAATATATATTTAAAACGATCACATTCTGAAATCGGAATCAATATGATTTTTCACGCRTTATAAATCACAAAGAATCGGTACCGCCCCCGTTAAGAGAAAAACAATTTCCGTGAACGTGGAAATAAAAAACAAAAATTATGACAATAAAACGTGGCATGAGATTTGCTACTAAACACTGGCAGTGAGCACAGTTTTCTATGRACGGTATTGCATTAAATATATGCGTCAAATATTTCAAGTAAATAAGGTAAGCCGTTATCTAGTTCAAAGGTTATGTTTGTTAGAGATACGAATRTTCAACATACAATTGTTAATCATCGACGATGTATTATAACATTTATAAAATTCGTTTTGTGTTACACTGATCAATGTGTAACACCCAAGTAGGTACARATTGAATGAGATCATTATTATAATTAAGTTAATACGCGATTGCACTATTACCTATCATAGCACTATATCACCCAAATTACCACGAACAATAAAACCGTTTCTTGATTATCGATTTTCTAATTCGATTCTCGATAGGTAATCATGAAATATGAAAATAACAGCTGGTTACTTGGATAGCACTATTTTCTTTAAAAAAGGAAATACTGTTTACCACCACTGTCCATTTTCCTCTACAAAAAAAGGAGAGCTTCAATTTCACTCCAAACAATTTATTGAATTGAAAATATGTTTATTTCCATTTGAATAATATTCAAATTAATTTAATCAAAAATAACCGATATTAACATATAAGTATTGTAGTGTTGTGTAGGTATCATATTATTAAAAGATTTATTTGTATTGAATATTATAACATGGCAAAAAAGGTATTCTTAATTCTTTATTCAAGAAGACCGAACAAGATTCTTTTTTTAGGAAAATAAAGGAAAATGGTATCTCATTGCTATTAAAAATTATTTATTTAATCACAAGATAGTTTTTAAATTTATTCATATTTAATTATATTAATTAGTGATAGGATGTCTATGACTTAAAAAGTACTAAAAATGACCAAAATGTTTGAATGACTTAAAAACTAAAAAAAAGACAATACAAATTGCCCAACATTTTATCAAAATATTGTTATAAGTGTACCTGTTTATTATTTAAAAAATAGAACTTAAGAATCATATTTGTACGAAAAAATATTAAAATTTAAAATTTAAATTTAAAACAGAATATTTTTTCTGAATTAATGAAACATGAAAAACAATTTTAATTTAGTTAACTTTGTATATGGAAATAATGCGAAAGTCATCAACATCCTATCTCTAATTATAATAATTGTAATCATGCTATAGTTTTAAGTTGAAGTACTAAGACCGGAAAAATGTGTTTGGTGATATTCATGGTAAGAACATAATTCATAATAATTATTACACTTTTTTTAAAATAAATACCCAACTCTTCTGTTAGGTACCCGACTAGGTTATTTCTTACATTTCAGTTTTTGTATTATTTATTAGTTTGGTTTGATATTAGAGTTACTGAGAAATAATCTAGAAATAATATAATACTAGAAATAAATTCTGTACTTCCATAAAATATGTTAGTATMATTTTTACTTTTTATTTTAACAAGTATTTTTTGACTATGTATATTTTTAATAAATTAAAAGATTAAAAAATGTACATCCGTTATAAATCGTACTTTGGCTTTTATAGGTATATATATATATATATATATAGGTAGTATATACCTACCTATATTTAATTTTTAACCACACCAAATTGCTATTTTAAAATGTGAGTATATTTTTACAACCTGAAAACATGATGAGCAATGACGTAGGTACCTAAGTATAATATGAAATTGAGCAGGAAATCCAATGGTATTACTTGAATAATTCATTTTAATGTCGAGTTATATAGAAATTTTTTAGCGTTATCCGCAGTGTTTTTAAGTGTATATTTGAGTACAATATAAATAGTTAAAAACAAAATAACATTTCTAGATTGACATAACATAGAAAAACTACAATTAAAGTTGGTCAAGTTATTTTGTACTAAATTATGACCATATATAAGTTCCTAAATTATTTGTTACATAACAGATAAAACAATTACCAACACAATAAAAAATTCTAAAACAAAAAAAAAAATGTTAATTGACATTTCAACATGTACCTACTTCAATTAGATAATTAAAAACTAAACAAGAATACAATTGTATTAGTAACTTGTATCAATTTATTTAAAGTCATTACTCATTACCGAGAAATCATTTAAATGTATATATAAGTAACAAGTTGGTTTAAAAAAAATTACAAAATACAAAATATAGATAAGTTAAGTATCTCAGTTTTGTATTTCATTTAAAAACCTGCAGCTCAGACCACGATACAAATATGAAAACATGTATAACTACAGTGACAATATTATAGTTATCATAATATTATATTGATTTAATTCAACTAATGAAAACATTTATATACTTTATCATTAAAATGCAACAAGTTACGAGTGTCTCACAAGCTCGGTGTTAGTTATACATTTATAWTATAATCCAATTCCTGCCTAAAGTTGCAATCTTATAAATAACCAATTTTAATACCTATAGGTACGTGATAAATATTAGTAATATCACAGAGCTTATAAAATATTTGCATAAATTAGTTCTATATAAATTGGCCGTTTAGATTTTTAGATAAGTACCTATACGAAAACGACAATTTATTCATCATATGCTTTAGTAAACCAAAATATTCTCATTATACAATGGTGCGTCAATTTGTAATAATTTCTTAACATCGAATACCTACTTCAATAAAATGAATTATGAAAAGTTAATGACTACGGTAACGATAACACCGTGCACTGGAAAATGTATCATGAGACACTGAGCAACCTGCATATAGATAAATAGCCAAAGACCTATTTAGAAAGAGACTATGGTGTCAATTATAGTGATCGACAAATTTCCAAATAATTGGATGGCATTCAATTTATAAAATCATAATAACTAAAGAAGTTATTTTCGAATTTAGGTTATTATTCCATATTATTATTATTGATATCATCATAATATTTTTAGCAAAAAATTTACAATTTATGGTTTTATAAAAGTCTAATAAATAATAATGTTGTGTAATAAATTGTAAAAATTCAACAAAATATAATAAAAATAATGCTGCGTTTTTAATTATAACTTATAATGAAAATTAAATCATGCAAGAGATTTTGTTAATTAAATATATTGAATTGTTCGCCTACAATCTGAACGCATATTTAAATTCTCATAATATAAAAATAATAATTCTTGATCGTCTTATTTGTTACAATTAC